TATTTTGAAACAACAAACAGCAGGTCCCTGACTTACGTCAGAGTTTTTGGCACGATATAACTTTGTTCCTATGGCACGATATAACTCGAGTTTTGCCTGTACAAAAGTACCTATGTTGCTCACCTACACTAACACAGTGTTAACATCATAATCTAGATCGTAAAAAAAGACAGCAGAGTCTGACTTACATTTGGGAGCTAAAATGAAGGGCACAAATAAAAGAAAGTGAATGTAGCACTATCCAAAGTATGGTGTACAACTGGCAAATGTAAACAAGTGCTTCTTCTGCATAGAGCTCTCCGTCATGACACATTTGTTTTCTCCGCTTGCCATCTAGTTCCCATGCGAACTAGTTGGCAAGTTTAAACGAGGTACGTCGTAATGATGGAAAAAGACTTTTGTCAATACATTTATGAGAGACCACAAAACACTGCAGGTCGAGGACGTCGTAAACCGAGGACGCCGTGTATTAGAATTTGTAATCTGATTATTCGCATGGAAGCTGTGGATTACTCACATTTAATCATGATTACTGCCGATCATAATTAATCACAATTATTCATGATTAGTCGCAATTCATTCAGACCTTTGAAACAAAAAAACATTTTATGTTCTCTGTACAGTCTGTGTATTACTGGAGCAGATGGACTAACCCAAATGATGCAATTATTAATATTGACATTGCCTTATAGAACCACTCAACTACTCACCAAATATGAGCACGGCAGCAGTGATGAGAGCTGCAGTGCTCGACTGGGACAATTCCAACACTATGAGGTAGGCAAAGATTGGCAGAAAGGATCCCAACACTGCACAAAACTGTAGAGGAAAGGAGACGGACGGACAGATGGACAGACACACTGTATGAGCAGATAAAAATCTACAGAAATAAATGCTGACTGACAGAGACGTACAGTATCTTTGAACACGAACGTCACATACCCCTCTCATCCCAACATAGTTGTGGTCTTCATATTTATCTCCTGGTTTTACAAAAGGGAAAGTTCCATCATACCCGGTCAAGTAGCCAGCCAGGCCTATGAGCATCTAGGAAAGAGCACAGGAGATCAGTCATGTAATAATTACGGATGTCCGATAATATCGGCCGACCGATTTTACGCCCCAATATTAGCATAATATGTAATATCTGTTATCGGGTTTTTTTTTCTGATAATGAAAACCTAATAACGCAATGCCTGGGTTAATCCATTTAATTAATCTCAAATTGTTGATATCTGTCTCCACATCTATTTTCCATCCTTTATCCACCAAACCTGCTGTCTTCATCTCTCTGTTCAGCCAGTCAATACAATTCACACTGTCATACATCACTGGTTTCCAGTTTCCAATGTGTCTGTTTACTCTCTTTACAGCTTCTTAGCATTTAAAT